TTCACAAAGCTAACCCTGTAGGGTATTATAGGAGAAGGCTAGATCCAAAGTAGAGTGCATGGGGGGCTTTTCAATTTCCCCTCCCAAGGTGAGGCAGCCTTCCAATATTTATTTACCTCATTGATACTCGGCTATTCTCCCCCAAGTGGGACCCAAAGCGGCCTGCATCATTCACTTCATCTGCATTTTATCCTCATAGCGACCCTGTGAGGCTGAGAAGCAATCACTCAACCAAAGTCTCCCAACAAGCTTCCATGGCAGAGTGGGGATTCAAAACTTTGTCTCCCAGATGCTATTCTTTTTTCTTTTTCTTTTGATCCCCCTGAGGGGAATTTTTAATTGATTTTTTTTGCAAACTACAAACTACAACCGAAAATGTATGGAGGGGAACTACTTCTAAGGGAGAAAGAAAAAAGACCCAGTAATAACTAAAAACCCAAGAGTAGGAGATCAGTACATCAGCTTAACTCAATGTTAGTTTTAAAAAGCTATTAAAACAATGAACATAGTCGGATATGCTAGGTTAATTATCTTTTAACTATTCATATAACTGCTTAAAGAAACCCCCCGAGCTTCCCAAAATCATTTCAGAGTTTTCAGGCACAAATCAGAGTCCTTCAGCCACTATTTATTCTTCTCTTTTCTAATCCTCAATTTATATGCAGTTTTGGGGGCAGCCGCCCCCTTTTCAGAGGGTGAGTCCTCGTCCGAAGACATCGAGCCTAACTTGCCATCAGTTTTGCTTTCTTCTTCTTCCTTCTCATCCTCAGCTGGTTCCCCGAGCTGTGTTCGTAGAAATTCACGTGCCTTAAGAACAGAGTCAATCTTTTCTTTTTTATCATGTAGTTTGAAAATGATGTCTTCTGGGATTAACCATCTATAACTGATGCCATTTGTTTGTAAAAATAGGATTCGCTCTTTATAATTCTTTCTCTTCTTTCTTATATCAAATGGAATGTCTTTTAAAATCCTGGTGTTGTTGTCCCCAATTTTCAAGGGAGTTCCCAAAGTTGCTTTTAAAATAGTGTCTCCCACATGTCTCTTCGAGAATCTGACTACTATTTCCCCAGGCAGATTATTATATTTTTTTTAAGTACCCGAGGGTACACTTTTATTGTTTTTTTTACATTATATACTAAGAGGTATTCCACTGTCAAATCTGTCATTGGGGCTATTGCTTCACTCAGTCGTTGCTTCAGATTCTCTCCTTTAATTTCCGGGACCCCTTGAAACCGTAGGACCAAATTGGCTTTCTCCATTTGCAACTACAAAAGTTGTGACTCTTCCATGGCTTGCTCCATTTCTAGCTTTTGCACCCTTTTCTTTTTACTATTGGCGCCCGTTTCCTTCACCTTCTCCCCGATTTGCTCCATTGCTTTTAAGGATTGAGTCAATTGCAGATGATCTGAAGCCAAACTCTGACCAATTACTGACAGTTGTTGCTTAATACTGGTCATCTCATCCAGCAGAGGGCGCAAGAAATCTGCCAACATTCTTGAAAGCTCAGTGGTCTCTTCCGTTCGAGGACTACCCACTAGTTTTGCTTTCAAAAGTTTTTCTTTCTCCGGTTTCTTCCCTGCCATCTTTTTAGATTTGTTTACTTATCAAAAAGTTGCTAAAGTCTCTGATATTTGCCCAAATGCTTATCTGCGCTTTGGTAAGTCTCTGAAAATAGTTTCAAACACTTAATTTTTCCAGCAGATTATTTTTCTTGATGTATGAGGAATAGGACCTGTAGACCACATCCATCTCGCTGTAGAAATATTCCGCTGTCAAATCTGTCATTGGGGCTATTGCTTCACTCAGTTGTTGCTTCAGATTCTCTCCTTTAATTACCAGGACCCCTTAAAACCGTAGGACCAAATTGGCTTTCTCCATTTGCAACTGCAAAAGTTGTGACTCTTCCGTGGCTTGTTTCATTTCCAGCTTTTGCACCTTTTTCTTAACTTTTTTAGTATTGACGTCCATTTCCTTCACCTTCTCCCCCCTTTGCTCCGTTGCTTTTAAAGACTGAGTCAATTGCAGCTGCTGTGAAGCCAAACTTTGACCAATTACTGACAGTTGTTGCTTAATACTGGTCATCTCATCCAGCAGAGGGCGCAAGGAATCTGCCAACATTCTTGAAAGCTCAGTGGTCTCTTCCGTTCGAGGACTACCCACTAGTTTCACTTTCAAAAGTTTTTCTTTCTCCGGTTTCTTTCCCACCATCTTTTTGGATTTGTTTACTTATCGAAAGGTTGCTAATGTCTCTGATATTCGCCCAAATGCTTATGTGCTCTGGTAAGTCTCTGAAAACAGTTTCAAACGCTTAATTTTTCCACTCCCCCCTCTTTATTCCGTGTATTCGTTCATGCGTATGGGAGGGGCCCCTCCCCCGCTCGCTTCGCTTCGCTCTTTAAGGGGAGCAGCTTTCTTTTTAATTCTTCATACTCGCTTCAACCCGACTCACAGTTTGTTGTTGGCCAACCGGCCTCGCTCGGCATCGGGTTTCCCCCCCCCAATCTCCAACGCTTGTCCCGGTCACCATACGGTCACTCAGCGGCAGGACCTTCGGGGCGGAGGAGTGCCTCAATTCTCTGGCATTGCACCATCAAAGAGGTCGCCCCTCAAAATCCCCCTGGCTAGGAGCCTTTTGCCAAGGCTCTGGGAGGGGGTGTCGCGACCTGTCGCACCCCCTCCTACACGCTGGTGTGCAGTTTGCATCCCCGGGACGTCCGGGAGATGCATCTGCCTCTCCCAGATGCTATTCTGATACTCTATCCACTAGGGAAATGGTACCCTGCGAGACCTATGGAAGGAACTCCCACTTTCCCATGAATATACACAAGCTTGTTTTCTGCTTGTATGATGCAAGAGGGATGTTTGAAACACAGCCAGAATGTTCACTTTTTACAAACGATTGGCTCTTCAAAACAAAATATGTTAATCAAGGGATAGAAAAATAACATTGGATTTTCTTTAGCCCTTTAGTGCAAAGTCTTCATTAAGATAATATTTGCAATGGAAAGTCGTTTTTGGCACTGCTTAATTTAATGGATTGTACCATTATAATTAAGACGTCCTCCCATGCACCTTGGGATGAATGCATTCCTAGTCTGATTTTTTCTAGCTATACACTGATAACCTTTAAGGGTGCTACATTAATAATGCAGTTAAGAATATAATTTATCGTTGTGCTAGAAAGAGGGAAATATACTGCTGCTAAGTATGATAACACAAATTTAGAGGTTGAGACCCTAGTGGTCAAAATGCTGAGAATATTTTTCACTTGGTGCCCTGTGCAGTACTCTCCTTAAAGGCCAACAAGTTTGATTTAGTCAGGGATGGACTGACCATTACGGCAACCAGAGAATCCTTCTGGTGGGTCAATGGCCTGTCCCCTCCCACTTGGCCTAGTCCAGTCCATGGTAGAAGGGTAGCACCTGATCTGGGGAAGATGGCACCCAGATGAACTCAGCCGAAATAGGCACCAATGTGCCCCAGCTCGGTAGAGCTGCCCATCTCACCAAGGTGTGGGTAGGATTGCCAACCTCCAGGTGGCACCTGGAGATCTCCCATTATTACAGTTGATCTCCAGATGATCAAAATCAGTTCCCCTGAAGAAAATGGCTGCTTTGGAGGGTGGCGTCTATGGCATTATACCCCATTGAAGTCTCTTCCGTCCCCTCCCCAAACTCCAGGCTCCACCCCCAAAATTTCCAGGCATTTCCTAACCTGGAGCTGGCAACCCTAGTTATGGCACTGGCTGGCTCTTTCTCCCTCCCTTCTTCCCTCCTCATTTGTGGGGGCAGGCAGTGGGGCTGGTCTCTTGTCTATGGCCGTTTTTCCTTCCCTGATTATAGTGTAAGTTTTTCAGTCAGACTTTCATGGATTAGAGTCCACTGACATCAGAAGAACTGGAATCCAATCCACAAAAGTTTTTATGCCGTAATAAGGTGCCTGAAATGATATATGCTTAATACTTAGTCTCTTGTTTTAATAAGTATTTGCAAAATATTACATAAATAATTTGTTGTCAAATAATCATTAAAATAGCTCATAAAATATATATTCAATATAAAAAATAGTTTAACATCTTAAATCATTTTGGCCAAAAATATTCCCAATGGGAAATTCCTATTGAAGCCATACTCTAGTCACTTACAAAGGTGTTCCAGTTACCATAGTAATTTAGTTTATTTGATATTTCCTTTTCTTCATGGATCCCTACCAAATGTGTAATTTTATTCATATATTCCAAATTGGTCTAGACCACCAGTCTCTTCCCATTTTCTAGGTAAGTCAATTCTGGCTGGAATTCCAAATAGTTTTAATCAAGTTAAAGCCCATCTGCCATCAACTGGCCTTCATCCACAAGCAGTGCATCTAGTAGCAAACCGGTCAGTCCCTGTACAGGTTACAAAAATGGTAAAACTGGGCCACCCAGACAAGGAAGGGGTTATTACCTAACTTGGTGGACTCTTCATATATGCAGGAAAAAAATAACTGTTAATTAATGAAAGGGGGTGGACTTTAAAAAAATGGTTACATGAAGTCTTAAATATGCTGTAGAGAGTGAAATGCTGTCAGGAGTCTGCTAAATGATGGAGCAGAGATCAACTTGATCTAGGGTTGCCAGGCCCACAGGTGGAGGCAGGGGTCCCCTGTCACCAGGCCCTGACTCTTGCTGCCAATGTGGGGGGACTTACAAGTTTGGTGTAGTGGTTAAGAGAATCAGGTTTGATTCCCCACTCTTCCACATGCGGTTGCTAGTGTGACTTTGGGTCAGTCACAAGTTCTCTCAGAGCTGTTCTCTCAAGAACCTAGCCAGATGAAGACTGAAAATGCTCCTGGAAGTACTGAATGTTGAAAGCAGCTGAGTATCAATTAAAGCAAAAAAAGGTGGTATGTTGCATGAAATCGTCCATTCATGCCTCTGGAGTGGGTGGAATATCTGAATCATCTTTATAGCCCTCACAGCTTGTTTTTAATTGTTTCTGTTGCTTCTCTTTTCTCTGCAGGTGAACATTATCCCTATAATTGCCAAAGCTGACACCATTTCCAAGAGCGAGTTGCACAAGTTTAAGATCAAGATAATGAGTGAGCTGGTCAGCAATGGAGTCCAGATCTATCAGTTCCCCACGGATGATGAAGCTGTAGCTGAGATTAACTCAGTGATGAACGTGAGTCACGTGCTTTAGATTTGCGTAGCTGTGTGTAGCAGTAGCATTTCCAAACTGAAGAGAATGACTTGGATCCTCTGAGCCATGAGTGCAACAGCACTCTAGGATATGGATCTATCCAGCCTCTTCCTCTGTGCCTCATCCCTGACATACTGGAATTGGTGGCCAAGAGAGCCTTGTGGACAAGATGCAGTGTTAGGGCTGCAGTGTCAGGTGAAATTGCCTTCACCTTCCTCTTCCACTGGCAGATGTTAGCAAGTTATCCATTTGTGCGAGAAGGAGAAGGGGCAGCATTCCCCTCCTTCTTGGCAGCTCTGCATAGCATTTGGTGCAAGAGGCTCCTTCAACCCCCAGTGTCAGCTTTCCAAGGGTCACAGGAGGCAGCTGGGGAAGGTGGAGGCAGGGGTGTGGCAATAAGAGCCTTTGGCTCATTTATTTTATTTCATTTTATTTCATTTTTGAATGGCCTGATCCCCACAACTGAGGGGCTCTAGGCAATGTAGAGAGTTAAAACATAAAAACCATGTTCAACACATATAGTCCATTGATTAAAATCAAGTGATGAAATTTTAAGGTTCCCTCCCATTTCCGGCCTGTGGCTGCCTCATGGGTATGGGGGGGGGAAAATTAAATCCTTCAGGGTACATAGGTCTGGGAAGGGTGCCAGATGTCTCCAGGGCTGGGAACCTCCAGCAAGTTGTTCTGTGCAGAGCGTAATCCTCTCCCGGGGGTGTACCGGAGGAGGCAGCCCTGCAGATACATTGGTCCCTGACTGTTCAAGGCCTTAAAGGTCAAAACCAAAACCTCAAACTTGTCTCGGTGCTCCACTAGAAGTCAGTGCAGCTGATGCAGCACAGGTTGAATATGTGCCGTCCACGGTGTTCCTGTCAGGACTCAGATCGCTGCATTCTGGATCAGTTGGAGCTTCCGGATCAGTCTCAAGGGCAGGCCAGCGTAAATCAAGCTCCAGTAGTCTAGTCTGGAGGTGACCGTGATCTGAGAGTACAAGCCAATTTAAACTTCATACTTAGTGGGGTATTCTTAAGGTGCTACCACTCCCCTTTCTCATTGGAGTGCTTCTTTTTATATTCAAAAGAGTGTGAAATCCTGGACAGGCTGTTCAGCAGACTACCATTGTATCTGCAAAGATATTTGAGCCTCTCTGGATTTTGGATACTGGATAGTTGAACATCCAGGGATGTTTCAAAACTCATTATTAACTGTGGGCCCATGCCGGTCCTCCTCCTTGCCCACCCCATAGTTTGCTGTGTTTGGAATATTTAATAGTAGTTTGAATAATACTGAATGAGCAATTCTACCTCCTGCCAAAATGTTGCAGCAATACCTGATGAAGCAACAGCAAGAGCAGTCATCTTCTTGGTGAACCCTAGGCAAAATTAGATTTAGAACAAGTGTCTGCCCCACCTTTCTCCCCAATGAGGACTGAAAATGGCTTATGCCATTCTGTGCTCTTCTATTGCTTCCTCACAACAACAAAGTGAGGTAGGTCTGGCTGAGAGTCTGTGACTGGCTCAAGGTCACCCAGCTGGTGCAGTGAGAGAATTAATTTTAATTCACTCTGAGACCGCTAGACATTTCATATATGTATCATCAGGAGGGATGTGTAAAATACCATAGTCTGAACACTTTCCACAGCATGCTTCCATGGCAGATTAGGGATTTTAATGTGGATCTTCTAGATCCTGGTCTGAGATTATTCTACACTTGATCTGACAGGTCGGGGAAGTTCTTACACACATACACACAGTTTTGTAAAGGAGGGGATGTTTTTCACCCTTCCTGTCTCTGCTCCCTTTGTCGCTAGCATGAACCCAAAGCGGCGTTCTCCTGTCCTCTATTTTATCCTCACAACAACCACCCTGTGATATAGGTTACAGTGAGAGTATGTGACTAGCCCAAAGACAACAAGCACACTTCTTTGGCAGAGGTTGGATTCAAACCTGGATCTCTTAGATCATAGTCAGACACTCTAACCACTACAACACACTTGTTTACCACCACCCCTGATTGTACTGTTGCCAGTTTCCTTTTTTCTTGTGAGTAAACATCTGCTTCCATTGTAATAATTATAATAATTTTCGTATGGCACTGTGTGTAGAATAGCCAGGAGATTTTACGATTGTCTGGCAGGCAGAGGTTCTAGCTCTTTAGCATTATGCACCACTAGGTGGCGAGCAGTGTTCTCGCCACTAATACTAAGTAATATTAGTAGAAAGTAGAATTTTTGCTCACAGGACCCCACAGTTTAGAAGGAGCATTGGTGGCAAGCAAGACTTGTTTTTAAGGCAAGAGACATTTCAGAGGTGGTTTGCCATTGCCTGCCACTGTGTCACAACCCTGGTATTCCTTGGAGGTCGCCCTTCCAAATACTAGCCAAGGCTGACCCTGCTTAGTTTGGGGTAGTGGTTAAGTGCGCGGACTCTAATCTGGGAGAACTGGGTTTGATTCCCCACTCCTCCACTTGCACCTGGCTAGATGTCCTTGGGCAAGCCATAATTCTGGCACAGCTGTTCTTGAAAAAAGAGCAGTTTCTGTCAAGAGCTCTCTCAGCCCCACCTACCTCACAGGGTGTCTGTTGTGGGGAGGGGAAGGGAAAGGAGATTGTAAGCCGCTCTGAGACTCCTTTGGGTAGTGAAGGGCAGGGTATAAATCCAATCTCCTCCTCTTCTTCTTCTTCGCTTCTGAGATCTGATGGGATCAGGCTAGCCTAAGCTGTCCAGGTCAGAGTCGCTTCCAGTGTAAATATCATCTTCTGGAGGCAATCTGAGCCAGGATATCCTGATTCCCTTCATGTTTGGCACTGTAACTTCCATAATTATCCTGAATTGGTGGCCACTTTTAAGGCTCCTAGCATTATTTTCTATTGACTTATGCCTGCCACAGATAGACAAACAGATGGACGGATTGGCACGTGGATCCTTGTTCTGTTTCTTAGGAGCTCTATAATGAAAAGTTGGAGCTTGATAAATACACAACCTGATTACCAGGACAGTTTGGGAACGGGGCACCTTTATGTCCCTTGCTTGAAACAGGAGGCCTACTTCACAATAGCAGACAGCATTCAAATTCAGTAGCCACTCCCAATAGTTTTTTAGATGAGGAATGTCAGCCAGGCTCGTGCAGTGCATTTAATACACTGTAGGCTGTAGGAGTCAACTCCTTCATGTGACTAAACTGTTGTAATTTTACCTGTAGTACTTTTCAGGGTGCTTTTTACATACGCTAGGTTGGATCCAGGCAACTTTCAGTTGAGTGAGTTTGTGGAAGAGATCTTAGCTACCGTCCCTTTCCTGGTGCTCCTGAAGCCTCCTCAAAACATTCCTGAGGACAAGGGGACTCTCAGAATGGTTGTAGGCGTGGCACGGAGGGATGCAGCAAGATGGGGGAATCTGCAGAAGTTGCCCTCTTTATGTGTTCCCTCCACTGCTGTGCAAGCTGTTCTGTGAGCAGAAAAAGAGCTTACATAAGAAGGTGGTAAGATTTCTGCCAGTTCTCACATAAAGTCATGCTAAGATCCTCCAGTCCTCAGGAGCAGGTTTGGGGCATGGGCACAGAGGATTGTGGAGATAAGGTCCCAAGATTCCTTCCGTGGACATGTGGGGTACAGGCCCTGCCAGTGACTCTTAAAAAAACCCCTGTAAGGGTGATTACTGTTCTTATTGCTGTATTTCAGAAGAAAGCTGAGGCTGAGACACAGCAGCTTGCAATGCCACCTTACATCCTACAGATGTAGGATTTGTACCAAAGACTTCCTCACTCAGTTGCCCTGCTCATAGCCACGACACTGTCTACCAAAAGTGGCAGCCGGAAACGTATCTGTGCTGGTTGAATGTAGATTAGATTTACTAATCCTTCTATATTAATTCAATCATACTAGAATTTGCTGTATTGCACAAGTGTTTGTCTGTTTCCAAATGCGTAAGTGAATCTGTGTGCACGTGCTCGTATATAGTTGTAGCAGAGGCTGGGACAAACAGCCAAGTTCATTAAACTTGTGACTCACATGTTTAGGCTCACCTGCCATTTGCTGTTGTGGGAAGTACAGAAGAGGCAAAAGTTGGAAACAAAATGGTGAGAGCTCGCCAGTATCCATGGGGTGTGGTACAAGGTATGTCAAGTGCTGTGTCTGTTTTTCAAGTGCCGTATGCACTTGCCCCTAGAAGCTGTTAGGGAACATTTCTAAGTGATTAAAAATAAAGGGATGGAAAGGTCATGAAATATTAAAGGTTTACATTTAGTCAGGTTGTATTGCATTAGCATGAATGTCATTCTTTTTCATTCTTTTTCCTTGTTGATCTCATTTGCACAATACCAATGCAATTATGAGACTTTCACTGATACTTGAGACTACAACCTTAAAACCTTAAATCATACTGCTTCTCCCCACCCCATGCAGTATTTAGGGACAGGACAACAGACTGCCTTTTCGTTCCCCTCTTTCCCAGCCTCCATTTTACAAGTAGCTATCTTGCCCAAGGAGAATTCCAGGAACTCAAAACCTGTGGTAGGATTTTAAAATCTCCCCCTCCCGCTTTTCCGAGCCTCACTAGCTCCTTCCAGCCTTGCAAACAACATCCTCCTCTTGATGGCCAGCATATAGGGATGCCATGCCTCCAGGTGGGACCTGGGGGTCCCCTGCACTTAGTTACAGCTTATCTCCTGCCTGCAGATATCAGTTCCCAGGCATAAAGGGAATGGCATTGTACTCCATGGCATTGTACTCCAATGTATCTCAATGGAGTCCAGGCATCCCAATGAGGTCGCTATTGCGCTGCTTTGGGGCTGTGTTATAGTGCCATAGCACTCTCAAACAAATGTTTTAAAAAATAAGACTTAGATTGCCCTTGTGGGCAAAAAAGGGCGCAAAAACCTCGTCACCGGAGGAAGTGCTACGGGGCATTTTACACAGCACCCCGTAACACTTCAGGAGCGGTAGACGAAATTAAAGACTGGTTGGAAGCAGTTTGAGGTAAAAATGGCTCAGGCATGCTTCCTGAATGGGACAGAAGCGTTTCTGTCTGAAAGGGGAAATATATTCCGTCAGGGAACTGTTACTATAACGGTTCTGTCTGAAATGACAGACAGAAACTGTTAGTGAACAGTTCCTGAAACGGAACATATCGGCTGTCTGAAATTCCTCTACTACAGGAGAGCTGAAGTAAAGAGGTCAAAGAAGAAATTCTGGGTTTGGAAAGAAGATTGCAAAGCTGTCTTGCCCTCCAGAGTCACTGTAGTACAGCAAAATAGAATTACAGAAAGGGCTGAAGAGAATTAAA